TATCACTTGGATAAGGAAGTTGTCAATCGTATTAGACTCTTCGGATGCAGCGTAAGGGTATAGTTTGGTACAGCAGGTACTGTCTTTTGTATTAGACTCGTAAGTAATTGGAGAGGTTTTTAGCAGTCTTTTCATAGAAGATAGGGAATACTCCAGTAAAATTTAAAATGTTAAAGATTTCCCTTATTTTTCATTTGCAGTTGAAGTCTGCAGTTTTTCAGCATTTTAAAATTGGTTTTTGCTCTGTTGTTGAAGTGTCAGGAAGTAGTTGGCAAAAAGCACATTGTCAACTTCTATTTGCATTCATTGTGTACTTGTTCACTCTTGGGTATTTAATTGCTGTTAATTTAATACTGAAATATTTTTGGAGTCCTGTTAATCACATACTGGCTGTATATACATACAATCACTATATCAGTGGGAGATAGAGTACCCTGAGCTATGCTTTCCTTTACTAGTCCTCTAACTTCTCAACATGAACATCTTCTCTTGGCTAGTAATGACAGGAGTTCTTAGGAAACTCAAAACTGGTGTGCCTAACTTCATTCGTTATAGGCTATATCAGCTTCTGGAAGGAGAAAATAAAAACCAGCAGTTGTTTCAAACATACAAAATTCTGGAGCAGATGGCTGAGAAGTTAAAGCAGGACTGTGCTACAGTGAAAGATCAGCTAGCAGCGTCTTCTCAAGAAGAGTCTCTCATTTCGTCCAAGTTGAAAAGTGATGTGGATATCCTTCATAATGCTCTGTATCATGGAGGAAATAAGATACAACTCCGTAGTCAGGTAAGCCCTTATCTAGTTATTAAAATTATTCCATTTGTGTGTATTGTGTTCTTTTACTGAGAAAAATGTAGGATGAAGGCTGTAGACACACAAACTGGCTCCCACGTGTCAGCAGCGCAGTTATTAGTGTAATGACTATGGCCTGACCATTTACATTGTTCTTAGCAAGTGTTAGATTTTGTAAAGGTTGGCAGGTAATAGCTTTTGTTTCTGAGCAAAATTTTAATTTCTTGCTAAGGTATGTATTATTGGTAAGGTTATGGTGTGGGAAATACGTTATCTGGATAGACAGTCACTAGAAAATCTGTTGAAATTTCCCTTTATTTCAGGCAGTCCTTTCCTCCCACCCCCCCTCCCTGTTACTTGTAACACCTGAACAGTACAGTTTGGCCCCTTAAAAAGCCTGGCTATGAGTGGCTCATTAGGACAAATATAGAATATCAGAATTTTGAAGGACAGCTGTAGTAGGACAGCCCTGTTGCAGGGCTCCCAGGTGTTGGGTTTGGAGCCCCTTCTAACCAGGAATAGGTGGTGTTTAAATGCAGTTTGTTATTCTTACAGTTTTTTAAATAAAGGATTGAGGGAAGTCTTCTGGTAGATAATACTTCCTTGCTTAAATACATGAAGATACATTTAACACTTATATCTGTCAAGTGAATTTGCAATAATAGAACACTTTTTATTAAAAAAAATAATCTTTGTAATTGGAACAGTACCTATTTAGAGATTAGATGTTACTGAATCAATCGGATACCTTGCTATTGATTGAAGTTACCTCTTAATACACGGTGATATCTCCTTCTATCACTACTGTTTATAAAGAAAACCAATTCCTTTAATAAGAAAATAATGGGCAAGTAGATGACTGGTCTGCTTACACTGAACTATCGTAAGAATGACACTTGGGAAAATTGCAGCTAGTAATTCATTATTTAACAAAAAAGCCAACTTAATTTTTAAATTGGTTTTTTTTTTTGTTCCTTTTTAAAGATATATGACTAACTATGAAGAGTTGTAATTGATTGAAAACATAATTCAACTCTCTAGCTAGTTGAGGGCCAGATCCTTATGGTCTTAACTCATCTGGTTTAGTAAACAAGTAAATGAAATGTCATTTTCATAACCCAATGTGAGTACAGGGAGCTCAAAAGTTTTATAAATTGAATAGGTTCTCCTATCACCCGTGTTTCTGGTTGTTGTGATGCCTTTTCACTTGGAAACAAAAGTGGCTTCCAAAAGCAAAACCACTTCTATATTTCTTGTTCAGCTAGTATATTAACAGTACAAAATTAATTTTTGTCTTCTTTTGTTGTTAGGAACTTACTGAACAGTTTCATCAACTGGAGGTTGATTTAGACAAACTAAATCAACTCCTTACGGATCTGATTGCTGATGTGAAGTCAAAGAGAAACTTTTTAGAGTGCAATAAGGCGCATCAGATGCGAAGAAACTTGTATGTGTATTTTTTCAAAGACGAAGACCGTTTGAAAGAGATAGTGGAGAAGCTTGAGCAGCAATCTGAGGCTAAAGCCAGTGGTCTGGAAGATGAGGATTTCGCCACCAGTGGAATTCCTAATGTTTAAAATTCAGTGTACTCCATTCAGAAAGGAAAGCGTGTTAATATAAATTGTCTACAAGTTTATGGAGTGATAAGTATTGGCTTATCATGGCTAACATTTATCTGTGGTTGCAATGCATATTTAGCTGCTGTGATTACTGAGTCTTGGATGTAAGCTGCTTTCTGGCTTTTAGCATCTGCCCACTGACTTCAGATTTCAGTTTTGTCAAGGTTCTTTGATATGATTTAATACATTGGTTATTTGAATGAATTGAATTCAGGCTGCTCTTCTGTTAGCCTGTATGTTTATTTCCACTGCACGCAGCGTAGCACAAAAATGAACATTTAATATATGGGAGATAAGTTTTCTTACGTGCTGAGAATTTTTAATATGTGAACTGAAAAGTAAATGCAGAGAAAGGCATTTGGATTTTGGAACATCGATGTAATGTGCTGCTTCTGAAGAGGGGAGCTCTCCAAGGCAGATATTCTGTGATCGTTTCCCTTGCGGTACTCCTAAGAAGTTTTTCTTAGGAATGTGTTGGAATATGTACCAGAATCTGTTTCAAGTACCAAGACTATTCTGATATCTCTTAACTTATGGCCTATCTTCTCCATTAAAACCAGTCCATACTCATACTGGGTTCTTCAAAGAAAAAGAATTTTAAATTTACCTATACCTTTTTTGGACTTCTGAGTTTGTTCTGTCATTTATAATGATAAGCATTTCAATTGAGTCCTGATGCATTCATGTGCATTGTTAGACTGTTAATTGGATTTTTATATAGCTTCCTAATACACCAATGGAATGAAATAGGTTTTTATAGTGTGATAACTTCTAGTCCTCTTAGTTTGAGATAACTATGCTTGCTTTCAAGCATTGTATGTATTGATGAAGGTTGGTAAATTAGCTTTAACTTCTGTAACAGTAGTGTTAAAACTATTTTGGTGACAGAGTTAACAGTTACAAATAAGTTATATTCACATAAGTTTAAAACTTTTTTAACTTGCTGGTTGGATGTCTTCATTTCTAGATTTCATGCTGTTTAACTCTATATATTGTGTGTATAATTAAGTGACGAACACTATAAATCCAGTGTTGTCGGGGCCTATTAAGTGTTGTAGGTGTATTCTCATGCACAGTGTCTTGTTTATGTTTAGAGTGCTAGGTTCTCAGTTTGATATGCCCCTGAGGCTTTCAGACTGCTGCTTCCCACACAGAGAAATCAGGAAGCATTTTTATGCTGTGTAGGAAAAAAGCGTTGCTCTTAATACAACTTCTCCTAACTTCTGTAATTAAAACACTGTTTCAAAGTTTTACTTAGTAACTTTTGTAAATTATTTCAATTTGCTAACTTTTATCTACAGTACTTAGAAACTGATAGGCGTGTCAGGGAGGAGATGTCATTTACTATCGAGGAGACTGACTGAATATGTTCGCTACATTTTGGTCTTAATTTCAACAGAATGTAAGTGCAGATTGTTCTGTGGCCCTGATACTATGCGTAATTTGTGTGTTCTGTGTTTAGGTTTAATCTTAAAAATGGAACTGGGCGTGTCACACATAGGATGTGAGACTTCTGAAGTGCCTTTATCTGATATTGCTCAAAGGATTATGGCAGCTTTGCAGTCTATTCCGGTAGAAGTTCAGACTAGCAGAAAGAATAACCCGAGTGAGTAAATCTTAGCCTATTTTACGTGTTTCAGTTTTCAGCTGAAAAACTGAAACCCACACAAACAAAACAATATAAAACCTCTAGTCCCTATTTAAAAAGGGGGGGAAAAAAAAAGGTGAGAGTTGGGATTTCCAGGTTTAGAAAAGGAATTAAGCTGGTACTTTCCGATGAAATAACGCTGTGTGAGTGCAAGGAACTGGAATATTACCAGTGCCCTTAATTTCATTGGTGGGGTTTTTTTCTGCTAAGTGGTATAAAAGTAGATGACAATTTCAAGCTGTTAACTAACTGATTCTGTAAATTAAATGTAGACATTAACTTGAATCTGGGTTAGACATTTAAAGATCACTAGTGGTACTGGGAACTTGCCAGAAGGCCTGGGAACTCTCCAGACTCATGTCAGTCCTTTAAACACATGTTCATTAGCAACTCGCTCCTTGTGAAATTCTAGGGGGAAGAGTGAACAAAAGTCCCCGTGGTAGAGCAAATTAGGTAATGTTAAAAGTGCCTCAGCTTTGCCTGTTGCGCAAATCTTCCTCAGTGTTGTGAATACCAGGGAGGCTTTGTAAGATGGAATTTTTGTTCTCAATTCTGCATATTTCATAGGCTGCCAGTCTTGTAGCTCTGCAAAGAAGTAGATAGAAAGTTAGAGTTTTGCTCAATTTCAGTTGTCTGGTTTTCTCCCGAGAACTAGATCCTGGAACATTATCTGGTTGTTAGTGTTTAAACTAGCACTTGTTTTTGTGTACATAGCATTTGTTGCAGTCTCAGTTTTATGCAAGTTACAGTACAGGCTCTTCTTTCAGTAGTGGAGTATTGGATCAGCGTAGCAGTGGAAAGGGTAGTAGTTCATTGCTGTGTAAATCGGTGATACACACCTGAAGGAATACGGGATGGTTTCATTTTAAAATGGCACATTGGACCATAACAGATTACTTTAAAGAAAATATGATCTCTTTTTTTCTGCCTTAGTTGAATTGATGTTCTACTTCTCTTGCTACCTTCTCGTTTTCCTGTGTGATGGGTTTTTTCTTAGGCTGGGGAACTTCCTGTATTGTGTGACACCTGTGTCGTGTTACGTTGTCCGCTCTTGATCCGTTCGCTCTGTCACACTGTAAATACAGATTCTCTCTCTTTTCTGAAAACACCATGAAGGTGTCTTCTACCTTTAGCCAAAGGAGCTAGCTGTCATCTTTGTCATGCTGCTAAATCCTTAGTCAACTGGCAGTGGAGGAACAGTATAAGCACTTAGTGGCAGCAGGTCACATTCATTACTAGCTTTCCTTGCTCTTGTTTTCCATGTAGTAATTACTCACAATTGTATCATGTACAGGCTTGAGAACAAATCTATTTGAATTACTTTAGGAAATCATCTGTATATATAACTTTAGGTGATCAGTGTGGATCTGGAGAGAAGAAAGTTTGCCCCCCTTAAAAAAACCAAAGAAACAAGCAAAACAAACCCAAAACCTGTCATGTTAGTTGATCTATTTCAAACTGTATTGAACTGTATTTTATTGATAGATCTTTAAAGATTAAATTCTACCTTCTGGAAAATCTCTTTCTCTTTAGAAAGTAAATACTGGGTTCAAGTAGGACAAATATCTGTGGTGTTGAAATTCTGTGTTTATCCTGGCAGTACAGCTTGTAATGGTTCCATCTATCCTTAAGGAGTTTGAAAGCAGGGATGGGTTTCTGCTGCCATCTAGTGATACTTTTTCATAAACCAGAAGTTGAGGTTGCATAGCTCTTTCAATACCTGGCATACTGAATACTGTGTGCTGACGGAAAGAAATCTAATCCTCATCTTCTCTGGAGGGTGAGTTTGTCAAGAAAAAGTATCTAGCTGCGAAACAACTGAAAGCACTGAATGCAAACTCAGTTACTGTAATTTTTAAATTGTAACTTTTATTGTTATAGGAAGTATCAAGAAAACCAAACCTAAAGTGTTTGACACTACAAATACAGCTATGCCATATTTGCTGTTCCAACAGCTCTGAGCTGGAGATAAATAACTGATTACACACATCAAGATGGACTTGCATGTAATGCCATAAAGTACTAAGTTTAGTTTCTTCTGGAGACTAAGCTAGTTAGCTTTTGAAAAAGCTTTTTGTTTTTTAGTGTTTTAAGTACAGGGTCCTGGCTTGCCTAGACAAATATTTTGGAAAAACAGTTTCAGTAAATAGAAATAGATCACCTTATACTTGTTTTTTAAACACTGGTCATCAGCACATTAGATTCAGAAAGTGTCTGGTAATGCAAATTGCATAGCTGAAAACAGTGTTGGAGTGTTGTACTTGGTATGGACCAGGAGTTAGGGTCAAAATGATATTTTTCCCATGATGTGACTTTTGGCTGAGCAGTAAAAGGATCTATAGATAAAAGAATCATAACTAATAGCAGACTCTGGAGAGATCTGCACTTCACTGGAGGTTTTTTTTTGGTGGTTTTTTTTTCTTTTTCTTTTTCCCTGTTCCTCTTCCTGTGCCTACTGAGTCTGTAATCACCGCTAGCCTGTTGCCCTTGTTCTTTTATTCCAGTCTTTGCTGGCTTCTCCTCTTCTTGGACATTGTTGAGGGTGGAAGAGAGAAGGCATGTCCTGTTTCATTTAGCATGGTGCAGAGTCCTGAGGTGCATTTACAAAGCCTGCCTTATAACTACAGTGCCTCTCTGCGTTCAGGGCTGTGGGCGAACTGTCACGGGGAGTTCAGCTGCACAGGGCTCTGTCTTAGACCCAGCACAGAGAACCCTCCTGCTGGTTGTGGTGCTAGGCATTACCTTGCCTTCCAGTCAGTTTGATAGGCCTGAATTCCCCTTGATCTGTTCTTTTCTGGTCTTACTGTGCCTGTTCTATCGCACGGATGAACACCGCGAAAAAACTGTCCTCTGCAGATGAAGCATGGTCAGTTCTCTATAAAGATATGTATGCAAATAGTGTATTACTGAAGAAAACTGATGTGGAATAATACTGCCTTATTCAAAGAGAGCAGTTGAACTGTGTGAAGCGTGTAGAGTGTGGGTTTTGGTTTTTTATTTTTTTCTTTCCCATCCCCCAGCTTTACTTGGACCAAGATGGGATATATTTTCTTGAAAGAAGGAAATATACCATAAACATGCATTATAGTAATGCTGCTCCTGAATACCATGGTAAATGTTTGTCTGCTTTGTAGCACATTTGAATAATTTTTTTCTTAATGGAAACAGAGTACAGTTTTTGCATATGCCTGTTTATGAACCTGGAGGGCACTTCTAAGCACAAATGATATTAGAGGATAGAAAATTTTATTGCAATTAGTTTAGGTTTTGTGGAAGTGTCATCAATGTAACACTGTATGTAATGAAAGTTGTATGCAGAGCTCCCAGATTCATTTGTATTGTAAAATGTTTCATATTTTTTTTTTTAAAGGTATAGAGAAGACAAAGGAAAAAGAACTAGGTTGTAAGGACGCACATCTGAAAAATGAAAAGGCAAGCATACTGTAAGATTGAAGACCCCTAAAAGCAGTCTTTTTATAGCAGGTTTGAAGCTGTTGCAGACTGGGTCTTTCATAATATGCTTCATCACGATACATAGCATATGTTCGTAGTTCAGATAACTTTTTCATATTTTGCACTTGGCCTCTATTTACTTGTGAGAGCCTTGGCCCTTCTTTTGTTATTCTTTTTACAGGAAGCTAGTCTTCTGTGACAAATTGATCAGAAATAATGAGGTTGCCACACTTACATATTTACCAGGGTTTAAAAACGTTCTCAGATGTCTGTCACTGAGCAGACACTAGAAAACAATCATAAAGTGATCTGGTTCATACGAAAGATAACTTTGCGATAGGAAGTTCTGGATTAATCCTCTTTCTGAATTTGGTTTAATGTGCACATGACTGAGTGCCAGTGCAAGAACGAGAACAGATAACTGGGGCAGCAGCTCCAGCTCAGGCTGCAATTGTAAGATCCACTGAGCTGATCAGTGAGTTGCGGATACTGCAAGTCTGCTCCTATCGCAGCTGCAAACTTCACAACCTTCCTTGCTCTGGCTCTGGTGCACGTTGCACACTTCAACTGTTCAAAATTGCTCAAGATACAGAAATCTCTTTTCATTTGTGGGGTGCAATAGTTTCCTATGAATTAAATTGACTGATAGACACACGTCTGTGGGTGCACATGGATATAGTGGAATGCCTTTTTGTGATGTTGAGGTACTAATTTTGACTTGCTGCCATCTACTGAAATCTTCCTGTGTCTTAAGTTATGAAACTACAGCCTGGAAGTTGTTTACTTCCAGTCAAGTCATTCTTGGTAGTAGGAGATGACTTCTTCCTGATAGCTGCTGATTTTCTGTGATTAATTGTACTTCTAGCTGTGTTATTCTGACTTGATAATTGCTTCATTCTTATTTTTGAACCTTAAATTAGGACAGTCAAGTCATTATAGACTCAGGAGTAAGTTCTTTTTTAAAAGTCTACTGTGTTAAACAATAAAGCTATTTGCAGTTAGGCTGGAGAATACACTTGGGCAGATTAGTTGTCTTCCTACAGCTCTTAAACACTTGGTCCTTTTGTGACGTTATTTCTGCTTATAGTAACTTTTTATAGTGTTCACTTTTTTATCAGCATTGCCTAAGTCGAATTAATCTGTCTTCTTTCAGAGCAACCACTATTCATTTTGGTAGTAGCAAAAGCTTAATTAGCTCCCTTTTTATATTTATGTAAAACCTGTTAATTGTACTTTTGCCGTATAGTTGACCCTGTGAAGTGTGATCTTAAGAAGTGTAAGCTTCTTTTGTCCTTTGACTCCATAGTTCTGAGGTTTGGGAATATGGGAATTGTGTTGAGGAATATTGCAAAACCAGAAAAAAACCCGCTTTTGTCATTCTAGCTTGCTCAGTCACAGAATGGTTTGGATTGGAAGGGACCTTAAAGCTCATCTAGTTCCAACCCCCCTGCCATGGGCAGGGACACCTTCCACTAGACCAGGTTGCTCAAAGCCTCATCCAGCCTGGCCTTGAACACTTCCAGGGATGGGGCATCCACAGCTTCTCTGGGCAACCTGTTCCAGTGCCTCACCACCCTCTCCAGGAAGAATTTCTTCCTGATATCCAATCTAATCCTCCTCGCTTTCAATTTAAACCCGTTACCCCTTGTCCTGTCGCTACAGGCCCTGGTAAAAAGTCCCCCCCCCAGCTTCCTTGTAGCCCCCTTCAGGTATTGGAAGGCTGCAATAAGATCTCCCCAGAGCCTTCTCTTCTCCAGGCTGAACAAGCCCAACTCCCTCAGCCTGTCCCCACAGCAGAGGTGCTCCAGCCCTCTGAGCATCTTTGTGGCCTCCTCTGGACTCGCTCCAACAGGTCCATGTCCTTCTGATGTTGGGGCCCCACAGCTGGATGCAGAACTCCAGGTGGGGTCTCAGCAGAGCTCAGTAGAGGAGGAGATTGAATACAGATGGACGATATCCTTCGATCACTGAAAATTGTCACCTTGGGGAATGGATGGGGGCCTGGTACAGCAGCCGCTTGTGGTTCTTTTGAAGTGAGAGGGCCTTAGTTTTTGGAATGGTAATGACAGCAGAGGTACTGAGGGAGACTGGCTGTGCTACAAGAGCAGAAAATGTAGTAATTATGACAGGTATCAGTTACTTTTCAATGGAGTAGGTGAATATTACGCTTAACGTATGATGCTGAGACTAAAAATTAGGACACCACTGTTTTGTGGAACAGTTAACTCATAAAAGAAACTGGTTTTTATTTGATTCAGTGTAAGATGAGGTTGAAAATCTTCCGGCTGAAAGGTGCTTTGATAGGGACTGTAATCTTTGAGGTGTTAAAAGAAAAGTCGCTACAGGAATACTTCATTTTCAAAAAGGAAATTACATAAAAATGAAGATACTTTCAAAGAAAATATCTGGATATTCCCATCAAAACACAAAATATTTGTAAGTAGTATAGGGATTTAGTAAAAATGGAGTATTCTAAAACTTAAAATGAACACTAAAATCTGTCCAGGAGAAAGAAGAAAAATCTAAGTGACAGTATGAAGGAGACTACTAAAATGTCATCATGCAAAAAGCTCGGCTTACTGGCATTTGTGTGGATTTGCAGTTGTTTTGAGTAAGATGAATGTAAATACAGTGCAAGTAAACTTTGAGAAACATCTTGCAAATACATTGCTAATAATACATTCCTTCTTGCAAATGTCTTGGGAGGCACAAGCTTGCCAGCTCCTGTAAGGCCTTTTGATGATCAAGGCGTAAGAGGAGTATTGAGGCAGCATGCAACTCTCTAGATCTGTAAATAGTTACATACGTGTTTACCTTGGGGCATCTTGGAAAGGCTGCTGTTGCCATTCCAGAGTCCTCTTTATGGACTCAAGACAGACGATCTGTCTCAGCTGAAGAGGTTGTAGAACCTAGAAAATAAACATTTAGAAAATACTAGGGCCTGTAGGATTCCAAGGGAATTTCTGAAGGAAATCAAGGTTGAAGGAGTAGAATCATAACATTACCATGCACCTTCTTGTACGTAATGTAATAGCATTCTGCTGTAAAGGGATCCAGGGGCCATCTGGAGTAAGAAAGCTGTTCTGGGCATAGTGGATTAAACAGAATATGGTACTTAGCCATACACCTGATGATACTTCTTCAGTGCCACCTTCACTTATATTTGTGTTACATCTTACAATCTTACCACTTGGTTGAAGAAATTGGCAGAGATGCAGTTGAATCGGTGTACTTGAATTTACAAAGCAGTTGTTATAGCCCCTTGCCAAAAGTTCTTCAAGCTAAGCTCTCATGAAAAAAGCTCTGAGTGGTGAAGCTAAAGATGGAAATGAATGGCCTCTTTGCACAAAGGTTACAAATAACCCAGTTACTATGGGAGAAAGGCTACTGGACTACGTACATCTTAAGTTATTAACTTGCCATTTTTAGTGTTTGACTAGTATTGGATTCAAAAAACAGTGGTGGTTTTGAATGTAAGCAATATAAATCAACAAAATCTTTACTGATGAATAATTTTGTTTTATGTAATGTGGTTCCTATAAACTGACTTTTGTTAGTAACAACTTTTTTTTTGTAAAATATCGTTTCTTTCAAATTTTATCTAAACTAACTCATAATAAACATATTTATTTTTCCTAATAAATTGAATAATTGGTTCACTAAAAAAATTTCCACTTTTTCCAGGAGATTCCTGATTCCACAGTTGTTTTATTAAAGAAATCTGGCAGCCCTGAAAAAAGTACTGTGGGTCAGATAGTCAGGGCAGTACAGAGCGATGAAATGCTTTGCTGTCAAGATACCAAAATAGTGAGCTCTTACCAGGATTTAGACTTGCCGACGTGGGTATATAGAGAAAGAAATCTTTCAGTAGAAGCAAGAAACCTGAAGGATGGTGAAAAGAATATAGCTACTTCCCTTAAAAGAAAGCAAGATGTACCTAGGTGTTGTTCAGAGAAAACAAGAAGATTACCTGCAAAGACCTCCACTACTTCACATGAATACAACTGTGCTTCTGGTCAGACGGAGTCTGCTGAAAATTATCCTTGTGATATCAGGATTTTGGGATGTGAAGAAAAAAGAGAATTGCTTGCAGCTATAGGTCAGGCAGCAGCTTTTGTAACTACTATGATATTTCAAGATGGTTCTTCACAGCTCAACTCAGAGCAGGTTAGTGAATGATGTGTTTTGTTTAGAGGCAGTTTTGTAGAACCATCTGAATTGTGCATAGGACTGATAAAACAAACTCATGTTCGTTAGGAGCCTAGAATCTGGACCAGTTTTGTGTAGTTTTGTGTACCATAATGTAAGTGTAAAATGAGTTAAACATTGATACTTCTGACTACATTTTATTTTTGGTTACCAAGTAAGACTTAAACAAAATGAAACTGCTTGGGCTAAACAGCCATTTGTATGCTTTGAATTAGAATATTTTTTTTCCTGCTTTTTACTATATCTGTCACTGGATTTTTGTTTCAAGGCTGAAACCCTTGCATGTTTCTCTACCTTGTCAGTGGTGTACGCCCTAACTCTAGTGTACATGATAGGTTTTGTACTGTAAAATATTTGAGAAATTACAGGATTGCATAAGATCGGTCAGAGGAAACTATTGTAATTATACTTCACAGGTCTTAACCTCATCAGTAAAAGGAGTCGTAGTGTTAGTGAAGAATCAGACTGCTCACCCTTGCCCTCCCAGTTACTCTTCAACTGACTATACTCGGAATGCTGCTAGTGAAAACAATAGATTAATTTATTTAAGAACTGAATGGTCATCTCTTTGGCAACAAGAACAACAGGCTCACAAGAAATTTGCTTGGTGAGAGGATGTAGGAAAAAGTACTGGTTTGATTTACGTATGCATTTAGCAACAGTGATGTTGGTTACATGGCACAGGCTTAATCTCCTTGCATGTCAAGCTCACTGAATTTCATATTAGCTGTATTGGTTCTGTGTCAAGCCTAAGCTAATATAAACCAAATAAAATAGGCTATTGCTTTGGGCTCAGCGTCTCACTACCTACGGCCCTGCAGAGCTAGGTTGGGGTTCTGCTAGGAGCTGTTTACATTCACCTAGAAAGGAACAGCTTGCAGCTATATGGCACCAGAAAATATTATTCATCCAGCTTTATCTTCCATTTCCTGAACAGCATTTCTCACCCAGTACATTTTTGATGGATGTTATTATAGTAGACATCCTTTTTGAGCTCTGCTAATATTTTAAAGTTTTTGAGCACAATAGGCTTTTTTAATGGATTTTGAGAATTAGAATGCAGTTTTCCTAATGTTCAGTAATAATGTTATGTCAAAATGACAAGGTACTTTTTTTAAAGAAATGCTTTATATATCTATTTAATAGTTGGACTAAATAAAATTAATATGTTTTAAACTTCCAGTTAGTATAACCAAAATCCTTTTTTATTCCTTCCTATTAACTTTGAAATAGTATCCCATAAATGAAGAAATGAGAACTGAATCTGATTCTGCATATTAGAACTTCATTAGAATATTTTATGACTTTCAGTAATAACTTTTATTGTAAACTGCTGAATTCAGGTTATTAAATTACAAAGCATTAATTTTTGACATGTGGGATGTGGTTGTCAGCTGCATTTCTGCCATCGCTCCACTGTGGTGTGAAACAAATCACTTTACTTACCTGCACTTCTCCAACTGTAATTTTGGAGTTACATGATAACCAGATTAGTAGCTTGTTGTTAGTTGGATTATAGGTTGTTCTGAGTTGAGAATAACATCAATAAAGCAAGTACATATGAACAGTAAAAATACAATAATAATCAAGTGGAGTAAGTGTAGTTGCATTTAGATGAAACCTATAGGTAATGATTTGTTCTGGGAATGAGGCAGTTGTTTAATAGTGAATCTACACTGTGTACAAAATAATACCTTATGATCTAGACAGTTTCTAATATGTCCAAGACCTTGGTACTGTGGTTTCATACCACCAAAGATAAAAAAACTTGAAAGCTCTATAAGGAATTTTTTTTCTACATTGCCTAAAATAGACCATGTAAAAAAAAAAAAAAGGACACAAGTAATTAGTAAAATCTGTATACCTATAACTGGTAAAATCTATTTAAAATAACATGGATGTGGGAACTACAGACATTTTCAAAAGGAATGGAAAAATGTGACAAAGATGAAGCATACTGAATTTTAATAGGATATTAAGACTGGGCAATTACAGCAATTTAGACTGTGTAGTCTAAATTGTGTTTACTTTTAAACTTTTAAATTGTGTTTTACAAGGCTACATTAACTCGGATGCCTCTGTGATCTTATTTGGGTACATTAAAGTATTACAGGGATGCCAGCTGCTGTTTTGGATTAAGATTGCGTTTTATTTTGAGTGTCAAATAAGGATTTGTTTTCTTTATGAATGCATGATAAGCCATATCTGTTAGGCTGTTTAATTTATTATAGAATGAAACCTAAGATATTACTGAATTGAGAATTTAATACTCAAATCCAGTATTCTGTTCTTACAGGAATAAAGAAATGTCCTGTGTTAACTGTTTAGTATTATGTGCTAATTAAATGTATAAAGTAAATAGATTCATTAGATGTGGTAGCAATATCATGTGTGTTAAACTATTTCTGTGCAGGCAAGTATTGTTTCAAATGCTACGTTGCAAAGTTCCAATTATTTGCTTCAATGCAAAAGATTTCCTGAGGACTCTACTTCAAGTTTATGGGAACGAAATTAGCTGGAAACAAGGTACCTATCTAATCTAATCTATGATCTAATCCTATAATCTCTGTGCTTCTGATGTTTCTGTTAGGATCACTAGGTGTAGAAGTAACTAGATCAGTGCTGAAGTAATATATTGGAAAGCAGAGGTTTAGTACCCTGAGCAAGAACACACTACTTAAGTGAGGTTGTGACCAGAGGCGAGGCGTGGCATGCCAAGGTGATATATTTCTTCTCCAAGTAGGAATCAAATCACTAAATAATTTAAGGATAGCTTCCAGTGGAAAGAAAAGCTCTCAACACAGTCCTGACTATAGTTGAAAAGGTCAAACTGCTTCATGTTCCCTAGAAAAACTTTCTTTGCTCAGGAGGCACACATACAAACCCACCAAAAAACAAGCTCACAAAGGTATCCTCTTCGAAAGTATTCAGTATTGAACTTACTTCTATGTAGTTGTCATTTTGACCATTTGTTGAGTTAAATGTTTAAGACTTTCATAGTGTAAATGCTTGTCTGTTGCAACTGTCCATTCTTATCATTATTTAAATATTTTGATTGTCAGACATAACTTATTTTTGTAGTTGCTGATAGTGTTGTGTTAGATCCAAGGATTGCAGCATGGCTGATAAACCCCAGCGACACCGTTCCCTCTTTTGAATGTTTAATAGAGAAGTTTTCTGAAAAGGCATTTTCTGTGGGAACAGTAAATACAGATACAGGCACTTTGAGAAATGCATCAGTAAGTAATTTGTTATAAATTGTTTGTGGTTGTGTTGTAAGGGGAAGGAAATTCTGAAAGAATTCTTTTTGCTTACAAAATATTGCAAAAAAAAAAAAAGCTTTTCTGATGGGAAAAAAAAATTACTCTATTAATACTACTTGTTGGGAATCTAATTTTAAAGAAAAGGGAGAGAAGGGTTCACTATATTCTACCAAGATGGGATTATGTTCTCCAAGAAAAGCTGTAAAATTCTGCTTCAAAACTATAAAGATCAGTAGTAATATTAATTAATGTATAATCTAATCTTTTTTCTTTCTACCTCCTTGTAAACTGATTTCCAAATTGTCTTAATGCCTCATTCTCTTAATTCCTGTGATCTTGTAGTCTGTATCTGTTATTATTTGTTGTTGACAATTTTGCTGAATCTCACAGCTGGAAAAGGACCACATCATAGGCTGAGGAACAGTAGGGAGGCAAATGGGAACCTACAAGCATGTGTATGAAAAAAATGTGAATTTTTATTCTCAGTAAGAAAGAATGCGTGATGAACTTCTTGAGAAGTTATTCCCAAGACTATAGAAATGCCTCACTGTGTGTTGAAATAACTGAATGTTATAAAATTCTGGCATTTGTATTTTCAACTATGGTGACCTACTCTGGTCATATTAACCTTCAGAGGTTGTCTGAACAGCAACCTCTGTTGTTGTGCAGCAACCTAAATGATGTTTCTTTGAAACCTTTCATTTCACAGAGGCATTGCTTGTTCAGACACAAGTATTGTAACATGATTATAGAGCTTCTCAGGATACAAATCCAGGATACCAAGTGGGCTTAGAGCCTGGACAGGGGTCAGTTGTATCAGCACATCCCCATCAGTATAGACATTTCTGAGAAAACCAAAGCCAGTTTACCTTAAAACACTAGCTGTACACTGCAGTTGTTCAGAAGCTACTTCATCAATTAAGTTATTAGTGTAGTGAATGAACAAGCAAATGGGCAGAAGCTATGCACTTGTTGGTTATTTCTGTGTGTGATGTCTCCTCCTGTGAGTCAGCATCCTTAATCTTGTCTCTTTCCTTTGCCTGGCTGTCCTTTGTTCTTCATATATCACATCTATTCTTAGTTACCATTTCTCAGTGTTGTCATCCTGATTTCCAGCCCTGAGTTTAATATTGAAATCTTATTTCCTTCCTGCCCTACTTCAGGTCTAGTTTGTTTCCTTGCCCCAACCATCTCCAGTGCCTTTATGCTGACTTGTTCACCCAAGTTCCAGTTAATGCCTCCCTCTAACATCCTGTGATTATTCCTCCCCAATGCTTACACAAATTAACTTGTTCCCTGGACTCTCCCACTTTCTTTTTGACTTCTCTGCTCAGTGAGTTCCAGTTCTTTCTGTGAATCCTAGCCCTTTTGTCAGATTTCTGTCTTTAGATTTCTGTCTTTAGCCTTCTTGCTCTGACTTTCTGGTAGGTTTCTAACAGCAATCTGTACTCCCAGAAGGATCTGTGCCAGGTCATATATCTTGTGCCCCACTAGATCAGGTAAGCTCCCTCTGTATTGTGCCAGTCTTGTCCACCCAGCAGAGTAGTTGAAATGATGGCTGTATTATTCTGTCTTCTGCTACTCTCCCACACACCTCTCCAGCGCAGAGTATGTTGTACTTGCTGCTTGACTCTGTTTGATTCTGTGCCACAAGGCTCAGTAATAAGGGTTCATAGTCCCTATACCTTGAAGCCTTTGCTGAAACAGTTGCTAAACATCATGCTGCTCTTGTCACTGCGTTTGATGGGGAGGAATCTTGGTGTCAATGGAAGCCTGTCATTGGGCTTGCTTCCGCTTCCACAGTTGGATCAAGTAGGCTGGCTGTTGCTGAAAGCTACGTATTTCACAAACATTTTGTTCCAGAGCCAGTAGGTATGGACAGGTTTCTCGGAGACAGGTTGATGGCTTTTCATTGGAATATTGACCTGCGTAAAGTAATCTGGGTGAGGTAGAAAGAAGTCCTCACTGACAGGACTAGACTTACAAAGCAAGGCTGACCGCCAGTGGATCTAGATATTTCAGCTTTGAGAAAGCCCTCTGCATCCAACCTTCAAGGGCCTACTGTTTCTCAGTCTTGCAGTGTTCAAGCCTGCTGTAGGCTGAGGGGAAGCCTGTGCAGTAGGTATCCGTGTTGTATGCTCACAAATGACCAACGCAAACAATGCTGAAGTTGTATACACTAATAGCCATTGTGCAGATGGGGAACCTGCATGGACTGTAGTTGAATTCATTACTTCATTCTAACTCTTTTTTGCTGCTGGGGCCTTACTGGGACATGCTTCCCACTAACAGACATCAGCTACGTACCATCAGTTTAATCAGCTGTTATCTTGAGTCATGTGGTCATTTCAACATAAACACAACTTTGGTCCAGGTTTAAGCATATTCTGAATGACTGCAGCACTAGTGCTCCCATTTTTTTTTATACAAGTGGTAGGAGAATGTGCCTGCAGCAAAGATTACCCCCAAACTGTTTTTAACATGAAACATAACTTCCTCTAATAGGTGTCTTCTATGCTGGTACACTCAGCACTTCTCCTCCTCTCTTAAAAATCAGTTGGACCAATATGGTGAAGTTCCTGTGATGGTTCTTCCCCAGCTGCGTACCAGAATGGTTGCCTCTGTAGCAATAATGTGTTATAATTTGTCCTAATATAAACTGATTTTCAGTTAGTTATAGTTCTGTTCTGTGCAGCGACAAGTAATTTGGATTCTTTCTGCATTCTGTTTGGAACTAATATGGATAAAGCATTGCTCTTGTCAGTCTGCATCTGCTGTAGTACTTCGGTTCCAGACTTCTGTTTTTTCTTCGGATAATGGGTCTGTTTTGCAAAGAGTAGGCCAAAATTGTGGGTTTTGTATATGGGGCAGATCTTCAGGTGCTGTTTGGAGGATGGATTATATTTACCTGTTGATTTACAGCTGTCTGTCACTGTGAGGGCACAGGATCGCGTGTTTAGATGTACTGGTGTCTCAGTCTATGCCTACCCTCACTCCTTAGAAACACAACCAGGAGATTCTGAGTCATCCTGGAGATAAGGATGAGATAGTGGCATCCAGCTGAGGGAGCAATTCCTGCAAAAGACCCTGTTCAGATGGAAAAAGGTGTCCAGAGATACCTTCTCACAAACTCAGGAGGGTTCTGACCTCCCTGAAGAGAGAAGATCCTCCCAGTCCACTATTCTTGATATGAATTTATTTTCTTCATTTTAGAAAAATCTTTAATTTGGAGACCAGTTTAAACTGTATAGACCCTTCTCTAGGAAGGATTTTGATGATTTCACAACCACTTTGATTATTCTTACCTGTTTTTGCTTCAGAAGAACTACTGTTCTGGCCAGACGGTTTCAAAGCTCTGGAGGACCATAGTGTTCTGCCATCGGAACTCATCTTAAGAAAATATTCTTGACAGCAATTTCAAAGACAGTATTCTGGCTTAGTCTGAGGTTCATAGCTTAATGGCGTCCAGTTTAGTAGAGCAAGATGGCATCTAGATACATTGCATGTCTTCCAGAAGGTAGAATCTTGGCTTTGTTCTTTACCAAATATTAGATGTTTCATTCAAATGGATGTGTCGTCTTCATTTTCTATGCAATCTTAGAGGAGAGTGTAAATCTGATAAGAAGTAGAAATTTCCTTTCCTTTTCTTCTCATCGGAAGGATTCTGAATGTATCAAATAAAAACTGTGAAATTGTGAATTGGGCGGCAAAGTCAGATTTGGTAGTGTAATTTCTGAGCTTTCTTTGGTAAGGAAAACACTTCCTAGGTCAGTTTGAGTGGAGAAAACAGAATGTATTTCTTGTGGAGCAGATCTCAGAGCTGTAGGTATTTCATGAGGGCAATAAGGTAAGAAAGCTGTGGAACAGCTGCAGGTCTGTAAAGGAAAGAGAGACTTCAGCAGCTCGTAGCATTAGCGCCCCTCTTAATGTTCCATCAGCTCCAAGGTGGAAATGTAATACATAAATTGAGAATAGAATAGTTAGGGTTCCTTTAACATACACGTAGGGTGAATGACAAACCTGAAGATGGATTGCTTACAAGATGGAATCATCTCCGTGCTTTTTCAATTGAGAAGCTTTCCATGTGATTTTGTGGCCATTTGGTTTCCTGTCAATATATTTCTGTCTCCATACTTGGTCTGTGCAAAATGTTAATAAAGGAACAGCTATAATCTTGAATATTCGTGATCTGTACTGCTCTGTTCAGGAATTGTGTTTCAGAGGTCTAAGAACGTTGCTAAAATGTGAAATATAACAGGAGACCTACGGAAAAACATTTATCTAGTTTAATCTCTTTTAGATAGTATTATAAATATTTTTGTTAACTTTTAAACTATTGATTTTTGGTTTTTAATTTATTTATAGCAGTGTAAAAACTTGGGTGTGAACTTGGAGAAGCTTTATAATGTCATGATGGACCTTGCTCGTGACTTACAGGTAAGATATAGGAAGTAGTTACTTAGATGTAACTTTGGAGGTATTATCGTGAATTAAAGAGAGGTAGTGGTGCGCTTCTCATACAAATCAGAGTCTGTATTGGAGTTAAGTAGAAGGCTTCAAACCTTAGTGGTTTACAGTGCTGGGCAACATTTAAAATAAGTTACCCATCAAACTGGCCATTTTTTCCAGAAGGAGGAAATGGTTAGTCTCTAGGTTAATCTTTAGAAGAAACTTTCCCGCTGCAACAGTTAACTAAATTAAATGAAAATGCTAAGAATGGGAAATGTTAGAGCATTGTGACTTTTGGTATTTTACAGTTGTATGAAACGGTTTCAAAAGTGTTAACACAGTTAAAACAAGAATATAGTTGTGGTTTTTTGATGTTTTCCTTGAGTACAAAAACTCTCAGCATATCTTTTGCTCCAGGTTGTATCAGCCAAATGTTGGAACAGGCTTCCCAGAGCGGTGGTCAGTGCCCCAAGCCTGTCGGTGTTTAGAGGCATTTGGACAGTGCCCTTAACAACACGCTTTGACTTTCAGTCATCCCTTAAGTGGTCAGACGGTCGGACTAGGTGGTTGTTGTCGGTCCCTTCCAAGTGAACTATTTTATTCTATTTTAGCCCTTATTGCAGTTCAGAATGCATTTTGAGAAGTCTTTTAGTCATTTTTTGGGTGCGTTTGTTTTCTCCCTGTAATCATATACCTGGAAAAGTTTCAGCATTTAGGGATCTGCTCAGGTTCTGGTGGAAGGTACATCACAGAATCCTAGGGGTTCTCCTAAAAGTAGATGGTGGCAAGCTCAGGGCTTAGACTGTTAGTTAATGGAGCCATGTTGATCTGGGTATCTCTGTGGCCCAGCAGTATGGTGGAACAATCTGTGAAGAAAAGCGACAGGGGAACACCAAAGGCACAGAAACACGGAGAGCCAGTCTACAGGAGAAGTTTTTAGATGAGCGTTGCTGTCTGATTGCTTCAGTGGTTAGAGAAAAAACAGACTTCCTGCTCTTTGCAACTAAACTGAGTACATGTCCCTACCATGTTTCATTTTATTCCTAATAAAAACAAAGCTCTGAATTCTGAATGGTTGCTTAATTGTTCAAGTGAATAAAGAAAAGGGATAACTACATTCTGTTGTAATGGAGCTTGCTCTAAAAATAAATGGGTTAGAAAAATGTATACTGATTTATTACTATTACAAAATGTATTACTGTTCCCCACAAAATGAAGTGCTAATGCACTAGAGTGTTTAGACACTAGGTTTCACACTAAGTAGTATTTCATTATACTGACAGTGTTGTCATATAAAAAGGGATTATAGAGAAAATTAAATACAGCTTACTGGAAAATAGATCCACATAGGACACTACTGTATATTTTAAGATTAAAAATGGCTGATACTGAAGAATTTATTTGTATCTGGCTTTACAGGTTCAAGGTTTGTGGAAATTATTTTGCACATTAGAGCTTCCACTTATCAAAATTCTGGCAGGTATGAAAGTTCAGTTCAAAGTATGAATTGTCACTGTTTTCCCACAGCTGCTGACTCTGCTCAAGTAGAGTGTTATGCCTCAGAGTACTAAATGCTGTCTTAGCCTCATAACACCCGTGTGAGTTTGGGTTTCCATTTTACAGTCCAAGAGGCATGTAAGATTGAAATTGTCAACTGTAAATGTTCTCAGTGTATAATTGTATTTACAGTGATGGAAACACACCAAATACTTGTGAACAAACAAGAACTGAAAAAAACATCGGAGATCCTGGGGGTAAATTCTGTCAATGTGTTTTTCTTTTGGAAATTGTATAGCATCATCTTTCTGCTTTTACTGAAGATTACTGATTAAAAAGAAGAGGAATCTTTTTGTCCTGTTTTACATGTATTTTTATTATTATAAATTTAAGTAATGGTCTTTACATTTTAGGATAGTTCCACGTTTATTTAGGCAAGCAAAAAAGACATTTGCTTCATAAGCCTTGCCCCAGAACTGAGACCACTTTGTAAAATGCAGATCCTTTGGTCACAGCTCTTTTTGGGTTGTGTTGTAGAGTAAAAATTGTAGTGACTGAACCTACAGTTGTCAGTAACTGTCTTCCTGAGAAGTGATAGATATGTCTATCTCTGTAAATAAAACACTACAACTTCAGTGCTCTGAGAGTTCTAAGCTGGCCATTTCCCCATTGATAAAAATAGCTACAAGAGAATCTTAATTTGTAGTATAAAATCTGAGTAGATAATCATAGAGGTCTGACAGATTATTAATTTACCAGAATAATTTGCATAGCTTTCTTTCTCTCAGATCTCTATAGGCTTCAGCAACCTAAATTATTTTCCCAGAAATTTTGATACTTTTTACTGCAGTAAATTCCCTTCCCAGATCATGAAAAAATAAGGTTAAAGAGTCTATAACCAATCTACTAAACTGAGTGTTGGTAGCCAGCAATGACTACACATTGTCAAGTACCCTGCTTTTAAATAGAAGACAAATATACTCATCCACCTAGGAAGTAGCAGATATTGAAGAAAATAATAATGAAAACAAAATAATTCTGATGCACTAATTTATAGTTGCGACTCAAAGAGCTTGAACAGGAAGCTCATCAAGTTGCTGGAGAGCAATTCCTTTTGACCAGCAGTAGTCAACTCAGAGAGGTAATATTTATACTACTATTATTATGTACGTTTTGCATTCTGTAAGTTGTTATTAATACAGAAGAATTATAAAGCATATAGAACTGTCCTTAAAACTTCAGAATTCTTTTTATTCAATATTAATTATCTTATTCTGGTTTTAATGGAGGACATCAGTTTTTCATAAGTCTGGCACCAAATTTTCCTTTCTGTTTCAGCACTTGCAACACTGAAACAGTGTTTTCACATCTTACGTGTTTTTTCTTACTTTAGGTACTATTTGAAAAGTTAAAACTGCACACGCTGTGTGGGAAAGTTCACAGAACTGAAATACAACAACTTGTGTCCACCTCAGAAGTTGTGGTGAGATGGGGAGGGGTTTTAAAACCACCTGCAGGGTTTAGCAAAACTTCCACGTTATACTCCAGTGAAATTGTCGTTTGTCTGTTTTGGTTTACTTTTGTACTGCACTAATCGCACTTCATTTACTTGTGCCAGAAATGAATGTTGCTCTCTGTGATGGGGAAAAACAAACTAGCTAACGAAGCCCAACTTTAGCTATAAACCAGAATTAGTTAAAAACTTTGTTAGCAGCATACATGTATGACCATCTTCCTCAAAGGAGGGAGACTTCCTTACTGGGCAGATTTTGGTAGGTCGGTGCGACTGACTGGTTGGATGAGGGAGAGGACCACTGGTGAAAGAAAAGAGCATTAAAGTAAAATCTGCTGGTGAAGGGAAGAGCAACCCAGACTTTCACTTTGCTGTCAGGAGATTTGGGCTATAAACCATGTTATTTATGGACACCTGACTCATTCATTCATGCTAAGTAAGGAGGCCTCTAGGAAATCATTTGGTACCTGTGGTTTGAATTGGGAATTGTAACTTTCTTTATACACTCCAGTGTTTTACTTGTGTGCGTGAATTTTCCTCCGCTTTCCCCCCTGCCTCTGTGGAGATGATTGTCTTTGGTGAGAGAGATTGTATTTGGAGCAGACCTGCAGGATCTTGGTAGAACCTTGCTCCCGTAGAGCAATAATGACCAAACAGGTCAGGTATTTGATACAACTATAGTTGTAGAGAGTAATAAGTTCTCCCCTGAACCTCTTCTCCTCCAGGCTGAACACCCCCAGCTCCCTCAGCTGCTCCTCACAGGACTTGTGCTCCAGACCCTTCCCCAGCTCCGTTGCCCTTCTCTGGACACATTCCAGCACCTCCGTGTCTGTCTTGCAGTGAGGGGCCCAAACTGAACCCAGGATTTGAGGTGCGGCCTCACCAGTGCCCAGTACAGGGGGACAATGCCTGCCCTGGTCCTGCTGGCCACACTGTGCCTGATGCAGGCCAGGATGCCCTTGGCCTTCTTGGCCACCTGGGCACACTGCTGGCTCATAGCCAGCCGGCTGCTGACCAACACCCCCAAGCCCTTTTCTGCTTGGCACCTTTCCAGCTACTCGTCCCCAAGCCTGTAGCATTGCGGGGGGATGTTGTGACCTGAGTTGAAAACCCGGCACTTGGCCTTGTTGAACCTCACTCAGTGGCCTCAGCCCATCGATCCAGCCTGTCCAGATCCTGCTGCAGAGCTTTCCCACCCTCAGGCAGCTCAACACTCCCGCCCAGCTTGGTGTTGTCTGCAAACCTATTGAGTGTGCACTTCATCCCCCCATCCAGATCATTAATAGATCATTTTGTTAAGATAATAGTAATGAAGTTCCTTCTTAGAAGAGATGAAGCCCCTGTGTAGCTGCACCTGTTTCTGATTGGTCCCACAATGGTATTGCTCTAGTTTACATGGGAGTCAAATCACACAACTCACTGCTGAGAATGAACTCCTCTGGGGAAGGTAGAAAGGTGTTATTTGTTTCTCATGTGGAAAAGAGAAAATTCAGCTTTTGGGTCAAGTGTCTGAACTACCAGATACTATCTCTGAGGTGACGTCAACAGTATAACTGTAAGTACCACACGCTGCTCTGGGAGAAGGAGATTTCATAGATCAAATATGTAACCTTGGAGAGTGACAAAGAGCCTTGGGAGATGGGAGGCGTCACTGAAATAGAATGCATGCCTTCTTTTTGTGGCAACGTAAGATTTATTGAAGTAATCAAGGCAATGCTTTTGTCTAGTCCAGTGCTCTCTTTCTAACTGCTGAGACTTGGTTATTTAGAGAAAGATAGGCTGAAACCTTCTGATAGATAAATACTAGATAATTAGGATTAACGTGTTGTCTCTCACTGGTCGAAGGGAAAAAAGTTAAGCTTTTAAATCTCCCTTCTGGTACAATCATATCTATTTTTCACCCTGAACTGTTCCAGATTTTTTTTTTAATACTTACAGATATCCAATCTGTCTAATAATTTCATTCTTTTTCTTAAGAAAAACCTATGGCAATTTACCATCAAAGTAATCAGAAATATGCTTTATTTATTGCTTTTGGATTTGACAATTTCAATTTTTCTTGAAGGTCTGCTGGAACTTGTATTAGGGGTCATTCAAGTGTGTGTGTGTGTGTATAAATACGTATAAGTGCATACATATATATAGTAGTTTTATCATGTTCTCTCTTGCACTGATGCTGTCTATCAGAAAAAATAAATAAAGGACCTTAGGTAAACACCCACACACACCCATGCCCCAGTGCTTTTAGAGTTATTGCGGGGAAGTTTTTATGTCTGCATGTCTTTCTGTCCCTGTCTGGGACAGGGAAATGAAATGGGAAAGGGTAATCTCCAGCCCTCCCACTGAATGCAGGAGAGAATGGAGGCTTCCTTGAGCCTTTTTCCTTAACAGGAAACTATACCAGTAATTCACGTTCTCTATTTTGCAGCTAAAGAAGTTGCAAGATCTTCATCCTTTGCCTAAGATAATTTTAGAATACCGTCAGGTGAGCTGATATTTTTCGCACAATGTAGTTTTATTGAAGCAAAATTAGCGAGAAAGATGATGTATTCATAGCTAAATAAAGAAAAAAAAGTTGGCTCTAATGTAAGCTCATTCTAATATTCATTTAAATTATGAAAATGTAGGTATGCCTAAAAGTTTTTGAATTTATATACTTCTGTTTTGCACTATGTTAGATTATAGGTAGAAAACAACTCTGTTGCAAAAACACTTGGAAAATTTCAATGTTGAATTTATCTAGTCCTATGAAGCACACTTTTAGAACAAAATATTTAATTTTTGACTTCTGAAGAAATACTATAGAGAAAGTGAGGGGGAGAACTCGTTTTGGTTTTTTTTAGGTGATGAGCCTGCTGAAAATCCAAAACAACCTAGTTAGTCTGTTCTCACATTTAATGTTTGGGTTTTCAGTGGATGAGTTTCCAAGATTTAAAAAAAAAAAAAGTAGGGGTTGTGTGTTGTGGGGTTTTTTGTGTGGCTTTTTTCGTGTAGTATATTGACCTGGGGATATAAAATATAAAGAATAAATTCCAACAGTTCATTTACCAGTATCCTCAAAGACCTGGCTTTAAGGTGTAACTGAGCTCTTACCTAACTTACACTAATACATCAAGCTATTAGTGAGCATGCATCCAATATTTACTAAGATAAAACTGTCTTTTGAAAAAAAAGTCTACAGAACAAGTTAAGATGCATTTAGAAATTAAGATCTCCTTAATTTAAGAAATCTAAACTTCCATGTCATTTAGGTTCATAAGATGAAATCAACTTATGTGGATGGACTGCGAACATGCATGAGAAAGGTAAAAATATAAAAAGTAGTCTGTAAAACATTTCAAATAAGTCGTAAAAGGATGTGAAATGATTGCGGTGTTTACAGCTTAAGAACTTCTATATATAGAAGATTATAAAGTATTTATTTTTTATTTTGTAGTTCTGATTGCAGTGAGTTTTTATTACTGATATTTGCATTGAATAACATTTAGATGTATCTTTCTCCTTTTCTTCTGGGGGATTTTTACTTTACTTGACTACAGGGATTTATTTCCTCTACATGGAATCAGACAGGAACTGCGACTGGCAGACTTTCAGCCAAACATCCAGTAAGTGAGCCTATTATAAGATTTACATTTTCATGACGACTAAAAATTAATATTACTTATATAAAATACGTCAGATTTTTAACACATGAAATGTTCGTTGGGCTCGTGCTTCCTCTCTTGTCTTTGGCTCTAATGATCTCCAGGTACATGCTTGTCGCTGGAATGTGTTTTATTTGACTTCCTGGGACTGCAAAGGCTGGAGTCTTTTTGTTTTCCAAAGTGGCCTTTTGAGGGGCATATTTGAATATATTTTATTATACCATTTTACTTGGAGTTTAGGAAACATACTGACCTTTGAAGGGACTGGTGAGGCCTTTTGTGTTTGTGGTGGGTTGACACTGGCTGTAGGCGACATGCCCAGCAAAGCTGCTGTGTCACTGCCCTCCTCAGCTGGGCAGGGGAGAGAAAATAGAATGAAAGGCTCATGGGTCAAGACGAGGACAGGGAGAGATCAGTCACCAGTTACCGTCATGGGCAAAACAGCCTCAACATGGGAAATTACTTAATTTATTACCAAGCAAATTAGAGGAGTGCCCATGAACTGCTCCAGGGTGGGTCCCCCCTGCGGGGTGCCATACTTCAGGAGCAGCCTGCTCCAACCTGGGTTCCCCTCCAGGGTCACAAGTCCAGCCAGCAAATGTGCTCCAGCCTGGGCTCCTCTCTCCATGGGGCCACAGCTCCTGCCAGGAGCCTGCTCCAGCACAGGCTGCCCACAGGATCATAGCCTCCTTCGGGCATCCCCCTGCTCTGGTGTGGGGTCCTCCCCGGGCTGCAAGTGGGTCTCTGCTCCCCCATGACCCTCCATGTCTGCAGGACACAGCCGGCCTCACCTTGGTCTGCATCACGGGCTGCCAGGGAATCTCTGCTCCAGTGCCTGGAGTATCTCCTGTCCCTCCTCCTACCTGGGGGTCTGCAGGGCTGTTCCCCTTGTGTATTCTCATTCTTCTCTAAGGCTGCAATTGCCCAGTGACTGTTTCCCCTTTTAAAATATATTATCTCAGAGGTGCTACCACCATGGGCTCGCTTTTGGCCAGCTGTGAGTCTGTCTTGGAGCCAGCTGGCATTGGCTTTGTTGGACACGGGGAAAGCTTCTTGCAGCTTCTCACAGAAGCCACCCTCGCAGCCGCTCCGTTACCAAAACCTTGCCACACAAACCAAATGCAGCGTTCCACTTCTGTTGCAGCCCATGGCTACATGGGTGAGTGTGCAGGATGTGGTGTGGGGGAAGACAGGGTTGCAGATGGCTTCAGAGGCTCAAGTCAAAGCATAGCCGAGGGAATAGCACTAGAATAGTAGTGACTACTTACCTGCAGAAATGTTGTTTGGTTTAATTATTGCCTTTCTTAGCAAAGACCTGACCTTTGGCCCTGTGGGAGAACAGGAATAGATGCAAAATTGGGACTTGGCTCATGAAGACTGGAGGGAATCCACGAGGCCTAACTTGCACACAAAAGTATTGTAATTTCTTATCCATGGAGAGGTTTGAGTACTACTTATCTGTCTACGCCAGTATTAGCCTTAGGCTTCATGGGTACAAATGGCATTAGAAGCTTTCTGCAGCCTTGGGAGAAAGGCCGTCATCTTCCACAGCTCTGTCTAGAGTAGAGATGTTAGACGTAATGGTCATGTTGTGACCACTCTGCATGGGTGGGCTCATGTGGCTCCTTGCAAGTCCTGATGGGTGTGGTGACTTCTGGAGTTCTGGCAGTAACCGGAGGTCCTCATCCTCACTAGAGACTTTTACTCAGCTCTTCTTTTATCTGTCTTCACAGTTCAGGTTTCAGTTGTATCTTCCTACTGTCATGGTACATATTTCCATACAATTTGTCACCAAGCAGTTTATAGGAAGTGCTTGTGCTTTTTGCTGTGTTAAAAACAGTGTCTAGGATTCTGAATTAACGATGGAATGGAGGAGTGGTAGTGCTGCTCTTGCTTCCCATGCACCCAGATGGGAGGGAAGAGATGGGAGAGAATGGAAAAGATGATCATGGAGGTCACAGTTTGCTATATATTCTGAAGTGATGCACAGGCATTTACAAGTCAGAGCTGAACAGAGAGCTGTCTTGAACAGCCACATACAACACAAGGTGACCCTTGGCCTATCATGCTAAACAGGACATGAAATCTTTTCTTAAAGGTTGTTTTTCTCCAAAATGATGCTGCTAAAGTTAGCATCCAGGGTTGACTAAGGCTGGCTTTGCCTTATAAGGAAAAACCTTGGCATGTTTTTTTTGTGTGAAATGTTTATGGAACTTATACCATCTGTTTCTGAATCATTTATTGATATGGAAGATATACTGCAGTGCCCAGTCACCTTACTAAGTGCTAAAGGATTGGGAGGATTCTTGCCAGAAATCATAAATATTGTAGATATTTTTGCAGATACTGTGAAGTTATGTCAAATTTTATCTGAGTATTTGCTGAGATAGTTTATTTTTAACTGTGTCTTAAAGTGCTTGAAGGAGTGATTAAAGCAAAAGATAAGCGTAAATCAGATAAATCGAGAATTCTAGTAGAAAAAAAAAATCACATTTGCTGCAGTGGTTGTGGGAGATGGGATTCCAAATAAAGGTATATTTATCTTTCATTTGTTTTGTAAAGGTAGTGGATCTATCTGTCCACTTTTCTTTAAGGCATTAAATGGAGTCCAAGAGGGATTTACTCATAGGTTTAAGGGGAAATGAGCAGACATTAGGTACAGAGCAGGATTTCTTATTCATATAAACTCTTCTGTGATCTTCTTTCAGACAAATCCATGTCTGATGTATGGATGATGTATATTTTTGGCTTTATGTGGGTTTCTCTCAATAGATAAGCTTATTCACATGAATTTTCATTACTTCTGTGTTGCAGCAACTTGGGGCAGGGTGAGTTCTTGGTAAGACTTCAGTGGCTCTCCATGTATAGATCTATTTTAGTTTAACTCTGCACTCCATTTCTTCTCATTTGGTTTCTTCTCCTACAAGATGTGTGCTGCATAAGCAATGCATTTTTCACAAATTGCAATGTGTTATGTAATAATACAGTACCTCATTAAACAGGGACACTTTTGATATTGTACTCTCCTTCTATAGCATCACAGCTATTTGCTACTCCATGAGAGCCTGCATACCTGAAACCTGAAAGTAAACATAAGCCCTAAAATTATTCAAACTAGATTGTAATATATCCATCGGCTAGTTATGTTTTCTACTCTATGATGGATTGCTTATGACTGTTAGGGGAAGCTAATTATGTTTATTATTTGAATGTTATTTTCAAATAATTTTTGTAAAAATGTCTGTCTTGTCTACATTAAGATACTCCCTTATTATATTGCTCATAGATAACTTTCCTATTAAATATATTTCTTACCTTCATAAAGACTTTTTTATGTTCTCCGAACCTGCCTTGAAATACCACTTTCCAGCCTCTCGCCTTTTAAAGCAAAAACAAGCCGTGGCAGAGGTGGAAAGGCATAAAGCCAATTAAGATCAAGCCTCTTTCAGTATGAACACAGAGAAATCCTATCTGGAGATACAAAGATTGCATATACGGGCATGTTATAATTTGGTTAAGATGTAACTTCAGTGCTAGAATCAGATACTCTGTATTACAGTATCTTTCCTCTAGGCTTCCGCAGCAGAGAGAACTGAAGTGCTACTAAAAGTTTACACTTTTCTTCTGAAGATGTTTGTATCACTAATCTAAAAGCATAAGGTGGTAGGCTTCAGGAGGCATTTCCATCCTTTTAGTAACAAAAAGTGATGGTAAAGGTAAAAAATTTTTTTTTTTTACTTTCTGAGACCAAGTTGGGGGGAAAAAAAAAAGGCATTCTATTTCTCCTCAGGAAAAATGCTTTTATCAGATTGTCCAAAATGGCAAAGAAATAAAACAATTAAACCTGTCAATCAAACAAGCATGGTAGCCTTTAATTTGGGAATCAGGAGTGTAATTTGAAAGAGAAGCTAATTAGGGTATATTGAATTTTAATGTGCTCAAAGAAGGACCATAAAAAGCCTGTAATATTGAATATACCTCAGTTTTTCCAACAGATATAAATAATATTTTCTGAGAGTGATTGCGGGACAGAGAATTGCATGCTTGTTTATTAGAAAATGTGTGTCACTAACAGTGTTTGGAATATGAATAAGAAATTACCCATCTGGTTTTCATTCTAATGGGAGAGACAAACTATTGAAGCAGAGACCCCTCTGAGCAATTGCCATCAAAAATGAGTCTGTTCTGTCAGTTAACTTAGAAAACCCCAGGACTTGGGGGTACTGGTGGGTG